ATATGGGCACTGGTTTGAGTCCTGGCTGCTCCACTTCCAATCCAGCTCCCTGCTAATGTGCCTAGGAAAGTAGTGGAGGATGGCCCAAGTCCTTGGGCCCCTGCACCCATGTGGTAGACTGGAAGAAACTCCTGGCTTCTGGCTTCATCCTGGCCCAGCCCTCGCCATTGTGGGCATTTGGGGAGTGGACTTACAGATGGAGGATCTCTCTATCTCTCCCATTCTCTTTCTGTAACTATGTCTTTCAAATAAATAAAATCTTTAAAAAAAAAAAATAAAGCCTTATTGAGCTCCACAAGCTGCCTCAATTCTCTCCTTCCTGTAGAGCAGAACTTGGTAGGAAAGGCTGTAATCTGTCTGTGTAACCCACTCCACCATCCTTCTAACGCTCACTGACATTGCCCTTGTCGAGGTCACCATCGTCCTCCTTGTCCTGAATCCAGTGGCATTTTTTTGTCCTCTGACCTCTCGGTGTTTACCGTAATTAATTGCTTTTTCCTTTGTGAAATACCTCTTTTAGGCTTTCAAGATGTGTTCTTGTTTTTCATGTTAATTCTCTTTCCTCTTTTTCTTTTTTTGGGGGGGTTGTCTTTGCTGGTTCTCTGTCATCTCCACTTGGTTTCGATCCTTGGGTTTCTTCTCCTTTCTCTCTTTCACCCTTGATGATTCTATCTAGTCTTACAGCCTAGAATGTAACCTGTTTATGAATACCTGCACTTCTTGTGGTCCTTGTTCCTCCTGCAATCTTTCCTGTGTTAGGTAGCAATGATCCTTCTAGTTGCTCAGGCCAAAACCATACAATCATCTTGGATTCCTCCTTTCTCCTGCATTATTGTGTCTGCAAATCATTTAGGCTTCCTTTTCAAATGTATCCACAATCTGACCAATTCTCAACACTTTGATTGCTATCACTCATCTTCTATTCTAGCTGTTACAGTAGAGTCTTAGGGAATCTTTTCTATTCTACTCTTGGTCTGCTTCCCCTTCTCCCTGCTGCCCCAGGTCCCTTCAGCATTACAACCAGGACAATCATATTAAAATGTACATAAAAATAATATTACCTCTGCTTCTTCTCTAGTGGCTTTTCATTTCACTCAGTTAAAGCCAGGGCTCTCAGAGTGATCTGTAAGCTGTATGCAGTCTCTACCCCAGTCCCCCTTATCCGTGCACAACCTTGCTTCACTGCAGTTTTCTATTGTCTGAGATAAACCTACATTGATCCCTAAGGGAGATTTATTCTTAATTTTTCAATATTCTTGAATGAGTTGTGTTATCTAGTGGTAGGAAGGACTCAAAGAAAAGGTTTCAGGAATGAGAAAAAAATATATTTAAAAAGCAATGATGGATGGCATAGAAGGGCATTAGGGTCCATGAAAACTCTGAAATTTATTTTTTAAATATTTATTTATTTATTTGAAAGTCAGAGTTACACAGAGGAAAGGCAGAGAGAGAGAAGGAGAGAGGTCCTCCATCTGCTGGTTCACTCCCCAATTGGCTTCAATGGCTGGAGCTACACCGATCTGAAGCCAGAAGCCAGGAGCTTCTTCCAGGTCTCCCACATGGGTGCAAGGGCCCAAGGACTTGGGCCATCTTCTACTGCTTTCCCAGGCCATAGCAGAGAGCTGGATCAGAAGTGGAGCAGCCGGGTCTCAAACCAGCGCCCATGTAGGATGCCGGCACTTCAGGCCGGGGCATTAACCCACTGCATCACATAGCCAGCCCCGAAAACTGAAATTTAGTGTGCACACAGGACTGTAAATCTGCCAAAGCAAGTGTATACTAAACTAACATGAGGATGTGTTTCCATTCTTCACCATGCCTTAGACAATGCTTAATTTCCTGAACGTGGAGATGAGAGTGTGATTCAACTGTGTATACAGAGGTAACATTGACCCTTTGCATTTGCATGGGAGCACCATCCTCTGCAGCCTAAACAATGTGGTAGATGGACTGGTGGGTGGAAGAGCTTTTAGTAACCTTCTAAATGACCACACTCAGATGTTTTAACTTTTTGGCTTCCTGGCAAAAGTAGTGTTGCCCAAGACATCTACTTTGAAAAAAGCTTTTGAAGTAAGTGTTCTTGATCCTATAACCACAGAAATGTCCGTGTTGTTCCTTAACCAACAGATAAAACTGGGTAAGTTGGTGTTTTTTTAAAATCTAAGATGTAATTTTTTAGTATGTAAACGTTCTCTGTTATTGTAGCTATACATGAAATAACAAGATATTAATAAGGCCAGTGCTGTTGAAGTGACCAGTGTGTGACCAGTTCAAAGAGCTACACCAGATTGACCATTGGGGCCAAAATTTCACCTCCTATAAATGGGTAATTGCACACGGTGTTCTGTGAATGCTAATCACCAATCACCACTGGGTAACATGTCTTTGCCAGATTTAATGATTATCTGTCTCATTTAACTTCTGTGAAACAGGTAAATAACAGGGCAATTTATAATATCAGAGAATAGATAAGATATGTATGAGCTGGCTAGCACATGGCTGTTTTTAAAACTCTGGGTTCTTTTGCTGGCATCCATTCACTTGGGAAGTGTTCACTGTGAATTTCACCTCCTAGCATGAATTGAAATGAAAGACTGCCATATTGAAATGTTTTCTAGAGAGACTACTGGATAGGCTAAAGTTTGTTTCCTTTTAAGGGACTACAGACATTAACAGTGTGTACTGTTAAGCAGATGGTGATTCAGTCCTTAACTTTTTCCTAATGAAATGGTTAACCTCTATGTTGACTTAATTCTACGTTGATTTTTGTTGTGGGAAAGGCACATAGGTTGAGGGTATATGTTTTATTTCTGTTATTTGAAAGTTAAAATGTCACCCTTATTCTAGAAATTTTCTAGAATAATTATATAATTATTATATGAAATAATTATAAACACATGTTGAGGTCTGCTACTTCAGTGCAAACAATCGTGTTAGGCTTGAAACTAATAAAAGCACCCTCAAATCAATAACAACGCAGTGAGAAACAGAACATGGTTAGAGCAAGTGAGAACAGATACAGATGCAGCAGGAATGAAGTGATGTGATTTTAGATAAGGAAGGAATTGAATTTGAATAAGCTTTTGTTGAGGAAACCAAATATTTTTGGACCTTAGTTATTTTGTCATTTTGTTGAAATCTGCTAAATGAATTTAGATGTTAAAATGCTAGTATTTTATCAAATAGAGATGATGATTCAATTGATTTTTACATGTAAAGGTACAGTGTCAGCAACACTTCCGTGGTTTTTTTTTCGATTTTTTGGCTATTTAAAATGATCAAACCAAAGAGAGGGTGGGCAGAAATGAAACAATCTGGATCTTCTTGCAGTGTTGCTTTTGGAATCTACAAATATAACAGTGCCGCTAGATCTTTTCCATTCAAAGAAAGGATCAATTTGCAACTTGTGCTCAATTTGCGGTCCCTGTTTACAGTAACCAAATCATTTAACCCACCAGGTAGAAGAGGAGCAGCTTTTCTATTTTTCACAATTTTACCCATAGTGTGAGTGTTTCCTCTCCTCAAAGGATGTTTCAGTTATAGGAATAGTCACAGGTATTTTTCATTTTTTAAAACATTGTAATTATATCAGTAAATTTGCAGTTTTGGTGTCTTTTCTGCTCATTACTGCTTTACATTTATTACTATTTTTATGTCATCAGAACTCTAATAATTATAGTCTAGTTGCTGTAATGATAAACACTAAGGTGCCTGAGGACTGGCATGCTTCCCAAGATAATAAATGTTTAACCCTGTTTGTGCTCTGAGCAGAGTGCTTCAGTAATGCTTTGTTTTAGGCTACATGTGGGATGCTCATAGTGCCGTACCTGGTGTGTGGCTCTCAGGATCCCAGCCACACAGGGATCTGGAATCTGCATGGCCTTGGAGAAGCTTCACACTCGGAGGCCTTGGGAAGGAGCGCACACGAGGGCACCGTCAGGAAGGGAAAGGGTTAGATTCAGCCGAGTAAATCATGCAGATGAGCAGGTGCGAGTTCTGTGCTCTCCGGACCTCGAAGCCACCCTACCCAGTGCTTTCCATACTGGCGGAACAGCCTCTAGGCTTGGACCTTGAGGACCGCTCAGGGTAGGGAGAGGAGAGTTCATACCCAGCGTCACCAGTGCAGTTCTACCATCTGGAACATCTATGAGTCTAGAAGCCTTTTATGAAGGAGAGACTTTGGAGCACACACAGTGGCTTCTTTTCTAGTGACATGATAGTTCTCGAAATAGAGTGAGATTTTAAGGAATGGTGGTCTTTTCCAGAGCTCCATTACAAAAATAGGTGAAAGTGTGTTTCACGAGGATTCAACTCATTGAATTTTAGAGGGAGAGTCTTAGTGAGCTGCAAAGGTGAAGAGGCTCTGACTCAGGTATGCGGGAGATCACCTCTCCAGAGGACTGAAGAGCAGAACAGGCCTTGCCGTTTCTGTCATCTGTCTGTTCTCTATACTAAATTAAAGGCAGAACGTGGAGCTGAAACCAAAATAAGGAATTCAGAAGTAGAAATTAAGATGTTTATGGTCATTACTGGACAACTCATTTCCCTTCATTAGGTATTTGGAAATAAATTGGGGAATTACATCTTATGCTTTGATGTGGTACATATTGTAAATATTTAAAGTGGTTTTAATTACTTTGCTGAAACTGGTTTCCTAATTTAAAGGTTAATTTTCAAAGAGAGATTTTCTGTGTAAAGTTTTTATCACTTCTGAATTGACTAATATGCTTTTCTATACTACAGTCCTGATCATTTGAGCTGAATTTGTTTGCTAGTTCTTAATCTATTTTCATTAGCTAAGCTGTTGTGAGAAAAGGCCCCACGGGAAGAACAAAATTAGCTTAGTAATTTTGCTCATTCATCCGTGTGCCCAACACGGCAGTTTTCATTTCTGATGTTGCAGTTGAACTGGATCAAAAGCAAGTAATTTTCAACTCCTGTGAGTAATTCTCTGTCTCTTGTCACTCTGAAGTCCTTTTTGTGTATTTGTTTTCTTTTAGGTGAGGAATTTTAAATTGGAACAGGAGCAAGAAAAAAACAAAATTTTGTCTGAAGCACTGGAGACTCTGGCCACCGAACACCATGAACTAGAACAGTCGCTGGTTGAAGGATCACCACCTCCCAGCATCCTCAGCGAGGACGAGTTCTACGATGCACTCTCAGGTAACCCGAGAGTCTTTCCACCTGCTGGGCTTTTAGAGTCCACGGCCTCTGTGTCATAATAGGGTATGTGCTACCTTGAGTTTCTCTGAATACAGAGAGGGAGGGAGGGAGGGAGGGAGATATCAGTAAAGCTGATGTCCAGAGAAAAGTTGCTTGAGATATTATAGGATAAAATGCACAGAGGTCTGAATAGAGAAGAGCCCAGACACTTTAACTGCTAATTTCTATAGTCTTTTTTTAAAACAATTTTTAACGTTTTGTCCTGTTTGCTTCACATGTCAACATACATAAATACATACTTTTTTTTTAAAGCAAGGGTGGGTATATTAATATCACATAGCTTGGGGCCGGCACTGCAACTCACTTGGCTAATCCTCTGCCTGTGGCGCCGGCACCCCAGGTTCTAGTCCCGGTTAGGGTGCCGGATTCTGTCCCGGTTGCTCCTCTTCCAGTTCAGCTCTCTGTTGTGGCCCGGGAAGGCAGTGGAGGATGGCCCAAGTGCTTGGGCCCTGCATCCGCATGGGTGACCTGGAGGAAGCTCCTGGCTTCGGATCGGCACAGCGCGCCAGCCGTGGCGGCCATTTGGGGGGTGAACCAACAGAAGGAAGACCTTTCTGTCTGTCTCTCTCTCACTGTCTAACTCTGCCTGTCAAAAAATAAAAAAGTCACATAGCTTGGGATTCATGACAAAGTTCATAAAATGAGGAAACAAGGTTTTTTTTTGTTTTTTTTTGTTTTTTTTGACAGGCAGAGTTAGAGACAGAGAGAAAGGTCTTCCTTTTCCGTTGGTTCGCCCCCCAAATGGCTGCTAAGGCCAGCGTGCCACACTGATCCGAAGCCAGAAGCCAGGTGCTTCCTCCTGGTCTCCCATGCAGGGTATGTTTTAATGTGAGGGGCATAATTCAGTCAATATAGCATTTATGAATATTATATACCAAATAATATGGCATCCAAACATTTATATACACACACACTGTTTCACAAATAAGAGAAAACATGACATTTGTCTTTTTGTGTACCTGACTTATTTCACATAGGATAATGATCTCTAATTCCATCAATTTTTTGACAATGTTAGGTCACCATTCTTTTTTAAGGCTAATATTCCATTGTATGTGTATATGCCACATTTTCTTTAACCATCCATTGATAGACATATAGGTTCATCGTATATCTTTGCTGTTAGCACTGCAGATAAACATGGGAGTACAGGTATCTCCTTTATTTGTTGACTTCATTCCCTTTGGGTATATTCCTGGAAGTGGGATACTTGGGTCATATAGTAGATCTATTTTTAGTTTTTTGAGAAATTTTTTTGCTTTTCCATTGTATTTTCCTTATTTCCTGTAAGAAATAAAAAATCAGTATATTGACCAAATTGGATATTATACAATAATAAAGACAAAAGACTGGCTATATTAACATTTTGTGTATATTAAAATGATAGATAGATTTTTTAATGTTGCTGTGTTAAATGATGGATAGATTTGGTTCACTGCCCAAATGCCCTCAATAACACCCAGCTGGGGCTTAAGCCAGGCTCCAGGAACTCAGTCCAGGTATCCACACATGTGGCAGGAACCCAATCATTTGAACCATCACTGTTGACTCCCAGGGCCTGCATTAGCAGAAAGCTGAAGTCAGGAACTAGAGGCAGGAATTGAATCAAGGTACTCTAATGTGAGATGTGGGTTTCTTAACCACTAGGGCAAATACTGACCCCCAGTATTGAAAGTTTTAAGGGTCTCTGTATGTGTTGCTATATAGTGACTTTCCTTACATGAATTGGTAATATATTATCTTTTTCAGTTCTGTATATTACCTTTTAGGTGCTTTATTAGTTATCACAGATCAGAGAGAACATATGGTATTTGTCTTTTGGGGGCTGGCTTATTTCACTAAGTATGATGTTTTCCGGTTCCATCTATCTTGTTGCAAATGATAGGATTTCATTTTTTTCACTGCTGTGTAGTAGTATTCCATGGTGTACATATCCCATAATTTCTTTATCCAGTCTTCAGCTGATGGACATTTGGGTTGATTCCATATCAAGCTATTGTGAACTGAGCTATAATACACATAGAGGTACATATAACTCTTTTATATGCTGATTTCTTTTGTGTAAATTCCCAGGAGTGGGATGGCTGGGTCATAGGGTAGGTCTATATTCAGACTTCTGAGGTATCTCCATGCTGTCTTCCACAGTGGCTTTACCAGTTTACATTCTCATCAACAATGGATTAGGGTAATTTTTTCCTCACATCCTTGCCAACATTTATTGTTTGTTGATTTCTGTATGAACGCCATTCTAATGGGAGTGAGGTGACACCTCATTTTGGTTTTGATATGCATTTCCCTGATGGCTAGTTATCCTGAGCTTTTTTATCATGTGTGTTGCCCTTTGGAATTTCCTCTTTGAAAAATGTTTAACTCCATTGCCAATTTCTTCACTGGGTTTGTTTTGTTGTTGAGTTTCTTGATCTCTTTATATATTCTGGTTATTAATCCTTTAACAGTTGCATAGTTTGCAAGTAATTTCTCTCATTCTGTTGGTTGCCTCTTTACTTTGCTGAGCGTTTCTTTGATATTGATTCTTCCAATCCATGAACGTGAAAGCTTTTTCCAATTTTTTGTGTCTTCTATTTATTTCTTCAATGTTTTGTAATTCTCATCATAAAGATCTTTGTTATTGGTTAAATTTATTCCAAGGTGTTTGATTTTTTTTTGTAGCTATTATGAATCGATTGACCTTAGAAGTTCTTTCTCCAGCTGTGGCGTTGTCTGTGTATACAAAGGCTATTGATTTTTGTTTGTTAATTTTATATTCTGCCACTTTACCAAACTGCCTTATGAGTTCCAGTAGTCTCTTAGTGGAGTCTTTTTGATCCCCTATAGATAATAGGTATAGGTATAGGTATTGGGTATAGGTATAGATATAGATATAGATATAGAATCATGTCATCCACAAATAGGAATATTTTGATTTTGACTTCCTCTTTCCTGATTTGTATCTTTGATTTCTTTTTCTTTTGTAATGGCTCTGGCTAAAATTTCCAAGACTGTATTGAATAGCAATGATGAGAGCAGGCATCTTTTTTTTTTTTTAATTTTTTTTGACAGGCAGAGTGGACAGTGAGAGAGAGAGACAGAGAGAAAGGTCTTCTTTTGCCATTGGTTCACCCTCCAATGGCCGCCGCGGTTGGCACGCTGCTGATCCGATGGCAGGAGCCAGGTACTTCTGGTCTCCCATGGGGTGCAGGGCCCAAGCACTTGGGCCATCCTCCACTGCACTCCCTGGCCACGGCAGAGAGCTGGCCTGGAAGAGGGGCAGCTGGGACAGAATCCGGCGCCCCGACCGGGACTAGAACCCGGTGTGCCGGCGCTGCAAGGCAGAGGATTAGCCTGTTGAGCCGCAGCGCCGGCCGTGAGCAGGCATCTTGATCTGGTTTCAGATCTTAGTGGGAGTGATTCCAACTTTTCTGTGTTCAATAGGATGCTGACCATGGGTATGTCATAAATTGTCTTGTGTTGAGGAATGTTCCTTCTATACCCAACTTTAAGTTTTCATCATGAAAGGGTATAGTATTTTATCAAATCTTTTCTCCGCATCAATTGAGATAGTCATTTGGTTTTTGTTCAATTTGCTAATGTGATGTATCACATTGGTTGATTTGTGAATGCTGAACCATCCGTGCATACCAAGGATAAATCTCACTTGGTCTAGGTGAATGATCCTTCTGATGTTTTATTGAATTTGATTAGCTAATATTTTGTTGAGGATTTTCATCAGGGATATTGGTCTGTAATTCTATGTCTCTGTTGTATCTTTTCTGGTTTAGGAATTAAAGTGATGCTGGCCTCATAGAAGGAGTTCAGGAGGATTTCCTTAATTTCAGTTATTTTGAATAACTTGAGAAAAATTGGAGTTAGTTCTTTAAATGTCTGTTAGAATTTAGCAGTGAAGCTATCTGGTCCTGGGCTTTTCTTTCTTGAATAAATTTCTGTCTTGAATATTGGTTAGGTTTTCTGTGTCTTCATGGCTCAATTTAGGTTATGTGTCCAGGAATCGATCAGTTTTTTTGTAGGTTTTCCGGTTTGTTGGCATACAGCTCTTTATAGTAATTTCTGATAATTTGTATTTCTGTGGTGTCTGTTACATTTCCTTTTTCATTTCTAATTTTATTGATATGCATCTTCTCCCTTGTTTTTTGGTTAGTTTGGCCAATGGTGTATCAGTTTTGTTTGTGTCGCTCCCCCTCTTCGTGGAGGAACGACACTAAACCCTGCCTAGGCTTCATATCCGAGTCACGGCACCATTATGTCGCTCCCCCTCTTCGTGGAGGAACGACACAGGACCCTGCGCTGTTCTTTTGTCTGCTCGGCCCTCCCCGGGTTTGCTGCTGGTTCTTCCCGGGTTGGCTACTGTCCCTTCCACCTCCGTGGAAGGGCGGTTCCCCCTGGCCACATTCCCCACTTCCGCAGGGGAGCGGCACACCGCCGGCCGGCTCTCTCGGGGGCTGCACAGGTGTTCCCCTTAGATGTTCCTCTTAGATGTTCCTGGTGCATGCCGTCTCTCTCCTCCTTTATAGTCCTCCTCCGCCAATCCCAACTCGGCTGCCCACACGCCAAGGACGCTGCTCTCCTCCAACCAGGAGCAAGTCCTACAGTTCATTGGCTGAACTGGAGGCAGCTGTGTAGAAGCTGTTTTCTTCTCTCCCAGCGCCATATTGTGGGAGAGCAGATGCATAGAATAAGTCTTAATTCCAGTAACGGTCTAGTCCGAGTTGCTCCCCACAGTTTGTTTTTTCATAAAACCAGCTCTTCATTTTGCTGATCTTTTGTATTGTGGGTTTTGTTTTGTTTTTACTTTAATTTTGTTCTCTTAAATCTAATTATTTCTTCTCTCCTACTAGTTTTGGGTTTAGTTTGCTGTTGTTTTTCTAGGTCCTTGAGATGCATTGCTAACTCATTTATTTGGTGCCTTTCTAATTTCTTGATGT